AAGGAAAGGAAAAGAAGATAGAAGAAAGAAAGGAAAGGAAAATAGAAGAAGGAGAGGAAGATAGAAGAAGGAAAGGAAAGGAAGATGAAAGGAAAAGAAGATAGGAGGAGGAAAGGAAAATAGAAGGAGGAAAAGAATATAGAAGAAGGAAAGGAAAGGAAGATAGAAGGAAAAGAAGATAGAAGAAAGAAAGGAAAGGAAAATAGAAGAAGGAAAGGAAGATAGAAGAAGGAAAGGAAAGGAAACTAGAAGAAGGAAAGGAAGATAGAAGAAGGAAAGGAAGATAGAAGGAAAGGAAAAGAAGATAGAAGGAGGAAAGGAAAATAGAAGGAAAGGAAAAGAATATAGAAGAAGGAAAGGAAAGGAAAAGAAAGGAAAGACGTAGCCCCGACAATTACTAGCTGCAGTTGGGCAACATCACTGGATAGTCTGGGGTGGTTGGTGGGGCCTGCTGCAGATTTCATCTGCCAACCCGCTTCTTCACCCCTTTTCCCCCTCCTCTCATTCTACCCCCCCCCCCCTTTCCCCCCCAACCCCCCCCCCCCCCCCGTTTTCTCTCCTTGGTTTGGACTTTGGCTTCTCCCTGGCTTGATTTTATTTTTTCTCCCCCTCCCCCCCAGCCTAACCACTCCGGGCTCCAGGGCCTCCACCGCCTCCGCCTCCGCCGCCGTGAGCTCCGCGCGCCCGCGACAGCACCAGAAATCCATGTCCGCCTCGGTGCACCCCTCCAAGCCCACGCTGCCCCCCACCGACAATCACTGCGAGGCCCAGCGACCTAGGCAAGTGGGCAGCTGTGGGCACCTGGGGGGTCTTTCCTTCCCTCCTTCTTTGCTTCCTGCCCTCCAGGTCTCTCCAGCTGCCCCCCTTGGTTTCATTGTTCTGCGTCCCTTCCTGGCCCCAGAGCCATAACCCTTGCAGGGGGGGGGAGGGCTGCCTGGAGGGGATCGGGGCAGAAGAGGTTGCGGGGTTCTGTCCTGAGACCTGGGAGCTCATCCTGTTGGGTGGGTTCCCCCCTATTTTTTAGGCAGGGGTCCCCAAACTTGGCCAACTTCTAAGACTTGTGGACGTTCTCCCAGTCACCATATTGGAGTGGCAAAGCTTTGAATGACCACTAGAGGGCAGCAAAGAGATGTGCATCTCTTTGCTGCCCTCTAGTGGACATTTCAGCAAGTTGGGTTCCCAGAATTCTCATGACTGGCTGGAGAATTCTGGGACTTGAAGTCCACAAGTCCTAAAAGTTGGACAAGTTTGGAGACCTCTCTGGCCTAAAGGCTGGAAGGGGGGAAACATGGTTTCATGGCATCTTTCCTCAACATGCCCTCCACCTCTTCATGGCCCTGGGTCTCCGGGTTCCAATTGGCTTATGATCCTGGCTCGTTTGGGACCCACCGGCCAGGACAATGTTGGTGATTCCTGCTGGGTTTGCTTCCCCCTCTCCATGCCCGGGACAAAGGGAATCCATTTTGTAGGTAGTTCTCTACTTGCGAAGGCAAGTGGGACCAAAACGCCTTCCGTCACCAAGCAGTGGAGTCGTTAAGTGAAACATCGGCTGACAACTCCTTATTTCACAGTCTTTTGGGCCTCGGTAGTTAAGTCAATCCAGCTACCCCACCGTCAGGGTAGAAGCCTCCTGTCAACTCAAAAATATTTCTCTGGTCTTTTAGAGTTGTCAGCAGAAAGGGAGTGGGGGAAGCAGTGCATTCCTTAAATGCTTCAGATAATTGCTAGGCAGCCGAAGCTGTTGGCGCACAAGTTTATTACTGGAGAGCATGATTGATGACTCTTGGCTATAGATGTGTTCCATTGGAGAATATAGATCCAGGGGGTGGGAGGAAGACCAGGGTCAAAGGGGAAATGAATGATGAGTCTCAAGAGTCAGCTGCACCCAGGTAGCACCGGCATTGTTCACTCCTAATAAATAATTCCTTTTTTAACTCTGAGAGATGCGGCTAGAGACTCAAGATTTGAATGGGGGTGAATTGTCGGAGCCCTGACACCTCCTCCATCTTCATCCTTGGGGGAGAAACCCCTGGGATGCCATCTAAAAATGGCTTGTCAGGCCTGACCCAATGGATCGGCTCTCCGCTCACCCCCTCCCCAGGGACCCCAAACCAGCATTCGTGGGTAGGACGTGGCTTCTCTCTCCCTTCGCCACCCACACCTCCCAAGTCAGCGGAGGGGCGGAGGGTCTCTCCGTCTGGCCTCCCCTGACTGACCTCCTCCTCCTCTTTCCCCACAGCACAGCCCCCCAGCGGGCTCCTGTGGCCTCCCCCTCCGCCCACAACATCAGCAGCGCCCTCCCCGAGCGCACCAACTTCCCACGAGGCATCCAGAGCCGCAGCACTTTCCACGCCGGGCAGCTCCGGCCGGTCCGGGACCAGCAGAACCTCTCTTACGGACTGACCCCCGCCTCGCCTTCGGGCAACAGCCAAGGCCGGAGAGGGGCTTCGGGCAGCCTCTTCAGCAAGTTCACCTCCAAGTTCGTACGCAGGTGAGCCGGGGAAGGACGGGAGCACTGCATCCGGGGTGGCGTGACTGCATGGAGGCGGGGGGGCAGGGTGAGGGTGAGATGGGACAGACATGCCCTGTTTCTCCTCCCCTATCAGAAACGTCCCTGCTGTTCCCGGGGGCTCCGAGGGGCGCATGCTGGCTGATTCTTTGTGTGTGTCGGACCCCGCTGCCCCTCCCTCTCTCCCTCCCCTCCCACAGATCCCCACCACGAGGCCACAGCGCCCACAGTCCGCTGTCTGCTGCGGTGGCGGAGTGGTTAAGAGTGCAGTACTGCAGGCGACTTCTGCTGACAGCCGGCTGCCTACAATGTGGCAGTTTGAGTCTCACCGGGCTCAAGGTGGACTCAGCCTTCCTTCCTTCCAAGGTTGGTCCAATGAGGACCCCAACTGTTGGGGGCAAGAGGCTGACTCTTGTCAACCGCTTAGAGAGGGCTGTGAAGCACTATAAAGCGGTATATAAGTCTAAGAGCCTCGGTGGCGCAGTGGTTAAGAGTGCAGTACTGCGAGCTACTCCTACTGCAATTGGGCAGATCGAATCCCACCAGGCTCAAGGTGGACTCAGCCTTCCGTCCTTCCGAGGTGGGCAAAAGGAAGACACAGATATGCTGACTCTTGCTTTGAGAGGGCTGTAAAAGCACGATAAAGCGGTATATAATAGTGCTATTGCTATAAGGTGCTAGTGCTATTGGTCCACACTCAGATCACACACACTCCAGGTGGTGCCAAGAATCCAAAGCTGCCACCAGCTCTTTTAAGGGGGGCGGGTGAGCTCACCCAGCTTTCAGATGCCACCCCCCCCCCCCCAGGGCTCCACGGGGCTGGGGCACACAACCTCTTCCTAGCAAAATCCAGAAAGGGGGCCCTCAGCAGGCAAGCCAGCCCCATCCCCAAGTGGGTCTGGGATGCAAGAGCAGCCTAGAAATCTCCCCTCCCCCCAAAAGAGGAGACTTTATTTGGAGTAACACCGCTGGGGAATAACAAGCTATCATTCAGGGTGGCTTAGCCAGCATTGTCACTGCAAAGCCCAGGATGGAGTGGGTGGGATGGCTCCTGATCACAGGACCCCTGTAGTACTAAGAATAACAAGAGTTGGAAGGAAGGGGGACGCGGTGGCTCAGGGGCTAAGACGCTGAGCTTGTCGATCAGGAAGGTCAGCAGTTCGGCGGTTCGAATCCCTAGCGCTGCGTCACGGAGGGAGCTCCCGTTCCTTGTCCCAGCTTCTGCCAACCTAGCAGTTCAAAACCATGTAAAAAAACAACAACCTTGGTTTTCTCAACCTTGGGCCCTTTTAGGATGGGCGGACTTCAACTCCCAAGATTCTCCTTCCACCTTCTGCTCTGTTCTGCTGGTTCTGATCTCTGCTCTGCCGGCTGGGGAATTCTGGGAGTTGAGGTCCACCCATCTTAAAAAGCATCCAAGGTTGAGAAACACCAAAATAGCCTATTTGGTATTGGAAGAAGGCCCGAAATGAGACAAGGCTGCAAGCCCAAACCACAAACTGTGTGTGTGTGTGTGTGTGTGTGTGTGTGTGTGTGTGTGTGTGTGTGTGTGTGTGTGTGTTCGAGAGGCTGTTTTGTAAACCTTCCTCCTCCTTCGCAAGGCCCCAAGAGGGAGGGGAGGGAGTCTGGGAAGGGGGGGGGGATGACCCACCTCTGTGCAGTCCAACGCCTCCTGTCTCCAGCCCCCCCCCCCCTTTTCTTTTGCTGTGTGTTTTACCTTCCTTCCTGCCCACCCCCTCAACTCACCCCCGTCCTTCTGTGGGTCCTTCCCTGGGCAGCCTCCAGCCAGAGGGGGCTATGGGGCGGGAGAGAGCAGGGGTGACCCCCACTCCCTCTCGCCTTCCGAAAAAGGTGACCAGGGATTTTGGGGAGCCCACCCACCCAGTTTGAGACACAGGGAGGCTGCTCATCTTTCTGCGTTGGACGGAAGGAATGAAAAACGGGGGGGGGGGGTTGTTCACATCAGCCTCCCTTTCCTCAAAGACACCCCCAGAACAAATCTGGGGAGGGGAGGGAAGAGGGGGGCACCGGCCTATTCCGGGACCCATGGCTTGTTCATTTCACACTTTCACGCTTGCTCATCCACCCACCACTGTGTTTTTTTCCTCCCCCCTCCCTTTTTTTTTACCCCCTCCCCTTCTAGAAATCTGTCTTTCAGGTTTGCCAGAAGGTAGGCGTTCGTCACTCTGGAATTTGTTCTTTTCCCTCCTCTTCCTCCTCCTCCTTCCTCTCATGCAACACTCACCTCCTCCCTGCCAGCTTCTCTCGCTCTCTCTTTCTCTCTCTTTCTCTCGCTCTCTCTTTCTCTCGCGCTCTCTGTCCCCCGTCCCGACCCATGATGGCCAAGGGTGGCTGTGTGTGAACGCAGAGGGCACCCTTAAAGGGACAGTTTGGTAGTGGTGGTGGTCTTATTAGCTTTTGGCCTGCAGGAAGGGAAGCCCACCGGGATGTCGGGGAGGGGCTGTTTCCACTCGGTCCCATCTGGGTCGCCAATAAGTTGTCTGGCGTGGGATTAACCGTACGAGAAGGCTGTCTCTTTAAAGGTGATTCTCCATCTTTGTGGTTTTTGCCTTGGCTGGGCCTCTGCTCTTTCTAACCAGAATCTTCCCCCCCCCCCACCCCTCCTTCCCCTCTCCTGCCCCACACTAATCCCTCTTCTCCCTGCATGGTGGCGGTTAGGAGGAGCTGGGCTACATCCCTCTGCTCTGCTTGCTGGACGCGGCCTTGAAGGTTCAGGCTTAGCTTGCGGGAGGTGGGCGAACAGGGATTCAGCCCGTCCAGGAGAACTTCACGGTCCTCCTCGGGGATGAAAATGGAGGCCCTGGGGAGTAGGGGGTTTGCAGCCCCAAGGGGGGCTTTTCAAGGGGAAAACAGTGAGATCACAAAGGTAAATTTACAAGAGCCACTTTGACCTGGTGGTTAAGTTGCTGGGCTAGGAACCAGGCGCCTGAGAGAGTTCTAGTCCTGCCTTAGACGCAGCCAGGTGGCTTTGAGCCAGTTCCTCCCCCTCTCTCTCTCTCTCTCTCAGCCCTCATGGGGTTGTTGTTGGGGATAAAATAGGAGGAGGAAGAATTAGGTACGTTCACCCCCTAAACAGTAAGGAATCTGGGATCAAAATAAAGAGAGAAAACTGGCTTTGGGCTGTCTAGGTAGTCCTTGACGTACAGCCACAACCGAGCCCAAGGTTTCTGCTGCTAAGTGAGACATTATGTTCAGTGAGTTTTTTGCCCCGTTTTACGACCTCGCTTGCCACGGTTGTTAAGTGAATCACCGCCATTGTTAATCAGAGGGTTCTTAAGTGAATTTGGCTTCACTCACTGACTTTGCTTGTCAAAAGGTCGAAAAAGGGGATCATGTGACACCCCCCCGGGATTCTGCGACTGTCATAAATTCGAACCAGTGCCGTTGTAACTTCAAACGGTCACTAAATGAACTGTTGTAAGTTGGGGAATTGCCTGTGTAGCGTGCCACAGACAAGCTGGGTCTCATGCTGTAGTTCCCATACGTTTCCTCTC